TTGCGTTAAGATGACACGATATCGTTCTTCTATTTTGTTGTAGGGAAATTTAGTGTTACCGACTGAGTTGAAAACGTAAATTGGTCTCCGTAAAGAGTTTAAAGGGTGACGTTTGGAGCGTTAGCCCTTCGTCAGAGCGATAGACGAAGAACTAACGTTCGAAACGACATCCTTTAAACTCTTTACGTTGACCAATTTACGTTTTCAACTCAGTTGATAACACTAAATTACCCTGTTATACTCTCCAATCGATGCACCACCACAGTTTCTCTGGAAACTTACTCTCTTTAATCACTTTGTTGTAGGTAGGCTATTCTGTAGTAGTCTAAGAAAAGTCAATTTCGTTAATATTAAAGAAAACTTAATCGTTGGGAGACCTTAAAAGAAATAATAAACAAAAATCATTTTTGATAGTTTATTGTATTGGCTTTCAATAAAAATAGGGAGAACGTTGTTGATTTTGTTTACATCCGTTTTGAAATCAGTGGTGATCCTTGCAATCTGATAGGCTCTAATTGGTGCGATTTATTCACGTATCGCAACAACCGATCAGATTTCAAGGTTTTTTTTAAAGTAACCAATCGAATTGCAGGAAAATGGAAGACAAATTTTGGGTAACTTTTTATAAACCAGCTCAGTACTGGATCGAAAAAATATTTGCCCAAAATAAAAAATCCTGAATTTTCGTGTCGTGAAATTTTGGTCTGAAATCATACTTGTGATTTCAACTTAAACTCGTTAAATCTTAAATCACTCGTATGACCTCAGACCAAACTGCACTCCACTCAGTTCAATGACCGTTATAAACTGCACACCACTCAGTTCAATTACCACTATATTTGGTACATTTCTTTGGTGCTCTTATACAGTTTTCTCTAATGTTTTTCGTTCGTTTAAAAAGTTTTTTGATTATGGGTACATTGTTTAAATCAGAAGCATACTAAGGATGAAAACTGTTATGTAATATTTGCAAATGATGCAAGATACCTCTATCAGTGAAGAGAAAGTGTTTGGCTAGATGGATTTTTTCAATTTTTCGATCCCTTTCTTGGGTTTGGAACACTAACGTAATTGATTATTTATTTTTTGTACTAAATGTTTCACTTCAAAAGACTTTGTTATGATTTTCTCAGCAGCGGTTTTAAGCTGCAACTGGTTAAATATTTAAGACTTCAAATGGCACGTACTATCCATGTTTAGAAATGCCATGATTGAGTAAAAAGCTGTCTTTCTTGATTACAAAAATCCCCTTTCACACAGAATTTTTTTTTTC